AAGATAGCTTAAATATTGGATCGGATAAAAGGTTTCTTCGTATTTTTTAATTCAAAATTGTATATATAATATCTTTGTCAAAAATGAACGAAATTTAAATTTAAAAAAAGGATTTTAAAGCTTGAAATCTCTACTTTTTATATTTTTTGAGTTTTTATTATATTTTTTGAGTTTCTGTAAATTTGATAATTTTTACATTTAAAAAATTACGAACTGTAAAAGATGAAAAATTTTCTTTTCACTTTCTCTTACGTATCTAAAAAAAATTTATGAAAATTTTCGACTACCTATCGTGAAAACTTAAAGTTTTCCCTACAAAATCATTTTTTTAAAATGATGATCCTATGATTTTTTGTTGCTGAATTATTCGCAAATTAAGTAAAGAAGCATTCTAACTTTAATTTCTCATACTCCGATAAAATCATATTATATCGCAATTTAAAAAACAGATTGATATAATTGTAACAAAAATTTTGTAACAAATGAAAAACTTTTGCAAAAAAATTTTTTTTAATACGAAGAAACTTTTTTTCTTATTTCATATACTAATGAAAATATTATACTGATGACCGGTTGTCTTTAGATTACAATTACTAATTTTAGTACAGTAGTAATGGCAGAATAATTAAAATATAATAATTTCTTTTTCTTTTTCTCTTTGAAAATTTATTGACAACGATGTCATGAAATTAACTAAAAAAATGTATTAAAATAAATATAACTTATTGACAGTTTAAAAAGCGTGCAATTACTATAACTAACGTATAAAAATAAATAAAAACGTATAAAAAGCAAGAAGAAAAATAAAGTTTCTTTTCGTGATTTTTGATAACACGCATGATAAACGACTATAAATGATCCTGAATCCCAATCGTGTCATGCGAGTTGTTAGCGCAGCTTTTCGCGCAAAGACGATCTTTAAGAAAAACGAAAAAAACTATCTGGCTTTTCAACCCCGATATGCTTTTGTCGACAAAGGGCTAAGTTATCCTCGTCGACTTTTCTGGATCACGTTGATGGCTGGAATACCTCAAAGACTTCTCGTTATAATCGCACGGTAACGGAATAAGCTATTAGTAAGCAGACTGGAGAAAGCAGGATGCTGTCTTTCTGAGAAGCGAATGTGAGCGAACAAGCGTAACATCGACTTACAGAATTTAAAGCATTGGTAACGAGTATTGCAATTCAAGTACACAGCTCGTTTCACATAATTGCCTTATATATCTACAAAATAAAATTGCTTTTGCGTTAGTTACCTTTTCCGTTAGAAAATGCAATGACTTTACAAAGGAATAGTATACTCAATACACATCAATTTACTAAACGTTAATAATTAATTTTATCAATATACACCGCGACTTAATATTTAAATTTACCATTTAGATTATTTTTATTCCGCTGTATTCAATTTATAATGATCATAATTAGAGTTTGTTATGATTTAATGCGATATTACAATTTTGCATTTAACTTTATTAATTTTGCACAATTTACAGCTTGTATATTTAATCCTTTCAAAACAACAAATGTGATTTTGTCACATATAAAATCATTATTTTTGAATAATGAAGAACTCCACTTGATTATTTTAGTTAAAATCTCTGGTAATGATTTTATATATATATATATA